AAATTTGGAAAAACTTTTGACTTTTTGGATTTAAAAAGTAGAGCTCAAAAAACTTAGCTATTTCTTCTTTTTGGCCATCAATACTTTCATTAAATCGAATACTCAACTATTCGCTTACTCTAGTTTCAGAGAGAACTCGTTGAATAGTGGGAAAGGAAGAGAAAACTCTAGTCGACTGAATGATAGAAAGATCTAAAGGCAGATTTCGATCAAATTTTTCACGGTATAAGTTAAAATTTGTGCAGTTTTGAATAGGCTTCAATAAAAGCGAGAGTTTTTCCTCGCTTGGGGCAGAATGGTCTCTCTTTGTGACCTCTCCCCTTTTGAACACCTCGATTTGATTGTCTTCGATCATAACAATCTCTTTTCTTTTCTCAAATGTGACACTGAAATCCGCCTTATTTTTGATTTGAATAAAATTAACTTTTTTTTGAAAGGATTCCACGATGAAAAATGCTTTTCCTGAATATCTTTGTGGTTTTGATGAGTTTCAGTTTCTCTTGAATATTCAATGAATCGATTTTGATCATTTTTAGGTGATCGGGCAATAGAAGAAATATTGAAAGACAAAAATTTTGTTTTGACTGAACTAGCCGATTGTTTTAAGCCTTTTGAGTTCATAGTAACAGCCAAACAAAACAACGTGCATTTCTAGAAACGTAAAATTATCTATTCTTGACTTTCAAATGAATAAAAAGAAAACTTGTGTGTTTTGTGTGAGAATTCAAAAAAAAAAACTTTTTCAACCTTATAAACAACGCCAAAAACCTTGTCGTCAACCTGATTGACGATGAAAATCTCGAATCGACTTGAAATTCACATGTTGCATGAGGTTCAATTCGACTGCTTTGGGAAACTTAAAAAACTGAGATTTTAAAAGTTTGATGTCTATAATTGATCGATTAGAGAGATCGTTGCAAAAAAAGTTCTCAATAAAAAACACTCTCAACTCAAAAACATTTCGTCGAAGCATATGTCCGAGTTGATTCACAATCGAAGAAGCTTAGAGTGGTTGCATTGCGTTGTCCTCGAATGTCGGACAACTTCACGCATCCCATCAACAATGTCGAACTCGAACAATCGAACTAGCACTCAACAATGTCAACTCGAGCAAAAGAAGAAGAAGCTTTGTTCGTCAACACTCGCCTGAGCAACGGTTGGATTTGTAGACGCGTGTGTCGGTTGGCGGTTTGCCCTCGGGTTCGGTTGAGAAGCATGTGGTGGCTGAGCAGGGAATGGTGCTCGTTGCTGTTGTTGTGATTGCCGTTGATGTGATTGCTGTTGATGTGATTGCTGTTGTGCGATGACTCCTGGGCTTTGATTTTGTCGTTTGCATAGGGCAAGATGATCTCCTCTTTTGCACGGCCTCATTGCGACAAGGTCTACGAAAATTTCTCAAAGCCGGAACTGAAGTCGATAAGTTCGGAATAGATTTTTTATGGTTGCCTCAAATTTTTGGGGAACGCCCGCGACGCGACCGCGGTCACCGAAACGCTTTTCGAAAGAATTTTTCGAAGAATTTCGAAAGAAAATAAGAAAAAGCGCCAAAACACCTACACATATCTTTTCTTCTTCAAATCATTGACAACTCTATTAAATTTATTACTAAACTTCGCTAAATTATGAAGGCAAAACTCGAATTCAAATCTCTTCCCAATGAACTTAAAAATTTGGTTGTTAATCAAGTGGAGAATTGGAGTTGTGCGAAGCTTTTGAAAGTGAATCGAGATACCAGAAATCGATGTCTCGGACTTATTCCTTTTCTTCAAAAAATCGACCGCTTTGTTATAACGGTGGGTTGCTGGAAATCGGAAAACGAAGAAATACTGTGCAACAGATTGGGCATCAGGATTTACAAAGATAAGGATGACATGGGATTAGAGTTCAACAATCAATCCGGTCAAGTTTGTCGATACATGATGGGAGCGGTGATCGGAAACGAGAATCAGAAACTCTTTCAAAAGATCAAAGCCAGCAAAAAAGTGTTCATTCTAATGGAACGATTTCACGGGCACAAATTCGATGAGGACGAACCGAGAATCGAGTTCCTAAAGTTTTTGCCAAGAAACTGGCACACCTCTGAGTTCACTCTTGTACCTGAGAAATTTGATGTGATTCGGCAAGTATTTGAGCACACAAAGCCCACGATTGAGTGCAAATTAGGACTAAACACTGAAGAGGATTTGGGAGAAGAGGAAGACGGAAGCCGGAAAGCACTGGAAGACGAGGAAAGAGAGTACCTAAAATCTCTGATGTCACACCGATTCCCAAACACGATCTCTTTTTATTCAGGGTATCCGCTGAAAGAAATGCACGAGATTTTGAAACTCACCAATGTGCAACTCTACGAAACTTATGAGGAACGGTGGGAGAATTTGGAGAAAACTGTCAGATTGATTTTGAATAAAGGATTGCCAAGTCGAAACGAGAAAATGATACTCACAGTCAATCACTTGATTTTTCATCCAAATCTAGAACCGGCTCAGCAAACGTTTGATGAACTTTTTGCTTTTTTGCAAGACAAGAACTTCAGCTGTACGTTGATTGAAGACAAAAATGAAGAAACAGAGCTGTTAAATGTTTTTGAAAAAAGAGGGGAGAATCTTTTTGGGAAGAGTATCTATTTGAATGGATCTTTCAATCCGCTTGGAGCTTTTGTAAGGCAAAGATTTTTTCGGCGAAGAATTTCCCCAGAAATGAACTGTGTCTACATGGCGGCCATCCAAGAGAACCACAATTTTGGTGAAGTTTTGCATGATGTTGTGTTTGGGGCAAAAATGGAGAGAATCTTTCCCCCTTTGAGTCAATAGTTTTGTGATAAACTGTTATTTTGTCTATTCAAATGTTCTATTAAAAGAAACGATACTCAGTTATTCTCTTTAACATTCATTTAGCTCACTTTTCTAATCATAAGCTTTAATATTTTTGCCTAACAAGCGATCAAAAGCGTCTTTAAAAGGCTGATAGTGAAAATGAATAAAAACACTACTATGTATAGCTTTTTATCAAAGAAAACGCAAAATAAGTAAGCCTTTGCTCCTTTATTTCTATGAAAACTGAAAGATTTCATTATGAAAACTAGAAGAAATCTTTCTTCTTTGATACATTCTTTGCTTGGCCGATCGATGGGATGAGAAAAGCCCTATCTAACTTCAAATCATAGCTGTTCTTTGCGTTTTTGGCTTTTTATAAATAAACTTTTATCCAATCGGTATTTTGATTTAAACAATTGAAAACTGTTTATTGAAACAATCACAATTTATTATTTTTTGCACACCAAAGCGATATCCGATCCGTCAAGAACGATGAGCCAGACTCCTTTTTCTACTAGAGTGCGTTCCTCGCGAGTAAGTAATTACTCGAGTAAATTTGCATGAGTAATTTTTTACTCGAGTGATACCTCGAGTAATTATCGAGTAATGCGTTTTCTAAAAATTTTTTGCGCAGGTTTTTCCCAGGAATTTCCCACCAAAACGGTTAAACGGCTGAGTATCTTTAAAAAGTCCCGTATATAATGAGGGGCTCGTCATTTTTTGCGTCATTTTTTTGCAATAATTTTTGCTAAAAGTACGGTAATTTTTTTCCCAAGTGTGCGTTTTAAAAAACGCATTACTCGCGAGGAACACACTCTATTTCCTACTATGGACAATCAAGCTCGCACTCCTTATCGTAATTCATCACCTGAAAAGCAACTTTCAAACTTTCACAGCAAAGACCTCAACTTAAAGGTGAACAGAAAAACACTAGCCTAACTTAAGATGTCATTCTTGTATTGATTGTGAATGGAGGCATGGTGGGCGCCGAGAGCTTGACAATAGGTTTCGGCCTCGGAAACGACGAGATCGTAGACAACCTCAAGCAAGCAATTTTTCGGTCGGCCCGGCCCTAAAAAAGTTGACTCAAAACGGTCTAATAATTGTAACTAAAGCCAGAAGATCAGTTTTTAAAAAAAAAACATATTAAAACTGTTTAACGAATCTGTCACGATTTTAAAACGATAAATTTTTCGAGCTCAAACCCAAGATTAATCTAAAAGTCAAAAAAAGAAAAATAAAAACAAAAAGAGCACACAAAAAATGAAAGCCATTTTAAAACGTTTTTTGATTTTTTTGAACAGTATTTAAAGGTTGATTACACTCAAAAAAATATTTCGCTTAATTTTTGACTAGTATAAGAGGGATCGGATTGGGAAAAAGTGTATGACAACAACGAAATTTTTTGGGTTTTTTGAAAAAAGCAGCGAAGTTCAAGGAATATAGAAAGAATAGGTCATAACATACCATTAAAATTTGAAAAAAGGCATTTCTTTAGAATTTCTGAGTCATAACGAAGAGGCTATTAAAAACAGACACATTCATTTACGATTCCAAAGATGAAAAGATGATAAGCTTCTTAAAACCGTTTTTCACACAGAAAACTTTTGCTCTTCAAAAACCTTGAATTTTTATAAGCTTTATAGCTTTTGATTTCCGTTTTAATCTCTAGTTTTACTACAGTTCGTGCTCTTTTTGTTTAGTATTCAATATTGGATTTGGGTGACTAATAGTAAAGGAATAGCTGGGTGAGCTGGGTTGGACTTTAAACCGAGTTACTCTAGGTGAACTTGAGGTCAAGCCAATCTACTCTATTCCAACTCAAACCTAATTCTACCTTTGTTTTATCAGCCCTTTCTTGCCTAGTTGTTCTGGAATTTTGTTTACAAATAGAAATTGGCACTTGGTAGACGAAATTTCAGAGCAATCGGCTACGACTGAGAAAACGAAGGTGGAATTAGGTTCGGCTTGGAATTTTCCCATTTCCCTCTACAAATTTCTAAATTTCATTTCAATTACCATTTTTGTCACTTGATTTACAAGTGATTTCATTTCAGGAACACCATGGGAAACTATCAAACCTACAAAACGAAAAGCCATCTTCCCCCCTCTTCACCAATCAATCAACCAAACCAAGAATACAAGGAATTTCGCGAGTACATCAAGGAAAATCAACAAGAAAAGTTGATGCGCGATCTCTCGACAAAACTTGTCCATGATGTCTATTTGAGGAACCGATCAACCAGGCTCAACTGGTTCAAGCGATTCAGCGTCAAATTCAAATTTCACGAACAGGTAAACCCATGAAAATTGAGATTTGGCAAATAAGATTTTAGGACATGATGAGTGAAATATCGAAAGCTTTTGTCAAAAAGTATAATGGCGTTTGGACGTGTTTAGCAGGTTTGACGAGTTTTGCAAGCTTAATGCTTTTAGAATCTAAACTTTTAGAACTTTTAGAATATTTGTTTAAAAATGTAAGCTTTCATTTTCTCTTTAGGTCCTAATATCGTTTACGGGACGTATCCGAGACCGCAAAACTTCATTCAATTCGACATTAAAGAGTACTTCGGATGTAGGCGGTGCTTATGCCGAATAATTATCTTTCAAAATGCTCAAGAAGTTCAGAAATTGTGAAAAAACTTGCCATAAACGGTTTATTTTCATCGTCAAAGCCAATAAAGACATTTTTTTAAAAACTTCTCAGGCAAGTAGACAATTAAAAAATCAAATGTTGAAAAAAAAAGTATCAGTTTTTGAAGATATAGAGATAAAAATAGAGATTAGAAAAATTTCAAACAAAGATGTTAGATGTTTGATGTAAATCTAACAATTGGTTTTCTCTTTTCTCGAAATCCACACAAAGTCACATAGTTTTTTGATGGTCAAACAAATCGGCAAAACAAAATCATGATTTGGTTGTAAACTTTTTGCAAGAAAAACTTCTCGAGTTGCATAGAAGGTGCTTTTCTTTAGAAATGGCCGATTCGGGGTACCGTTTCGAGATCACCGTTTCAAGGTTATACTCTTGTGAACTTAGGAAATTTTAGGAAAGTCGATGAAAAGCAAGGATTTGAAAGAAGAATGGAAAGTAAAAATGAATGGAAAACAAGGGATGGATTTTTTTTTCTGTAATTATTTGTTTATAAATTAGCAAGTGGTGAACTCCTCAAATGAAAGGTGTATTTCGGTAAATCGTTTTGGACTTTGAGATTTCCATTTGTCAATTCTTCTTGCCTTTTATTGAGGTTACTGTATATGCTAAGAAGTAGTTCTAGCAAGAGTTTATGCTTTATTTTTCAGAAATTCTTTACCTATATTAGCAAGTTTTTGATTTATCTATCAATATCTTTTTGGCTTTTTGTTCTTATGTTCCAAGACTCTCAGTCTTTTTGTACTTTATTGTACAAATTTCGTTTAACCAACCACTTTTATCTGTTTTCTGTATTCGATTTTGACGAAATGGACTACTTGCACGATTTCAAATAACGAGAGCGAAATGTGGAAGGATTCAGATTGAACGATAGCATGTTCACAAACAAAATCTAATGCAACAATGAACAATGACTAGAAAAGACGAAATGAACCTATATATAACCATATTCGGAAAGAAAAGATATCCAGGCAACACAAGAATTAAGAATTTTTACTTTTTCCTACTTTTCACCTTACTTTGAACTACCTCGCACAAAAGAAGAAGCTTCTTTTGTTCGAGTCGTCGACACTCGCCTGAGCAACTGTTCGATTTGTAGACGCGTGTGTCGGTTGGCGGGTTGCCCTCGGGTTCGGTTGAGAATCATGTGACTGAGCAGGGAATGGTGCTCGTTGCTGTTGCTGTGATTGCTGTTGCTGTGATTGCTGTTGATGTGATTGCTGTTGTGCGATGACTCCTTGGCTTTGATTTTGTCGTTTGCATAGGGCAAGATGACCTCCTCTTTTGCATGACCTCATTGCGACAAGATCTACGAAAATTTCTCAAAGCCGGAACTGAAGTCGATAAGTTCGGAATAGATTTTTTATGGTTGCCTCAAATTTTTGGGGAACGCCCGCGACGCGACCGCGGTCACCGAAACGCTTTTCGAAAGAATTTTTCGAAGAATTTCGAAAGAAAATAAGAAAAAGCGCCAAAACACCTACACATATCTTTCCTTCTTCAAATCATTGACAACTCTATTAAACTTATTACTAAACTTCGCTAAATTATGAAGGCAAAACTCGAATTCAAATCTCTTCCCAATGAACTTAAAAATTTGGTTCTCAATCAAGTGGAGAATTGGAGTTGTTTTAAGCTTTTGAAAGTGAATCGAGATACCAGAAATCGATGTCTCGGACTTATTCCTTTTCTTCAAAAAATCGTCTACATTCATATAACGGTGGGTTGCTGGAAATCGGAAAACGAAGAAATACTGTGCAACAAATTGGGCATCAGGATTTACAAAGATAAGAATGACATGGGATTAGAGTTCAACAATCAATCCGGTCAAGTTTGTCGATACATGATGGGAGCGGTGATCGGAAACGAGAATCAGAAACTCTTTCAAAAGATCAAAGCCAGCAAAAAAGTGTTCATTCAAATTAACGGCGAGGAATTCGATGAGGACGAACCGAGAATCGAGTTCTTAAAGTTTTTGCCAAGAAACTGGCACACCTCTGAGTTCACTCTTATGCCTGAGAAATTTGATGTGATTCGGCAAGTATTTGAGCACACAAAGCCCACGATTGAGTGTGAATTAAGACTAAACACTCGACTAAACACGGATTTGGGATCACTGGAAGACGAGGAAAGAGAGTACCTAAAATCTCTTATGTCACACCGATTCCCAAACACGCCCTCTTTTTATTCAGGGTATCCGCTGAAAGAAATGCACGAGATTTTGAAACTCACCAATGTGCAACTCTACGAAACTTGTGAGGAACGGTGGGAGAATTTGGAGAAAACTGTCAGATTCATTTTGAATAAAGGATTGCCAAGTCGAAACGAGAAAATGATACTCACAGTCAATCACTTGATTGCTGATTCACATCTAGAAACTTATGAGGAACGGTGTGAGGATGTGCTACAACGATTTGATGAACTTTTTGCTTTGTTACAAGACAAGAACTTCAGCTGTACGTTGATTGAAGACAAAGATGAAGAAACAAAGCTGTTAAATGTTTTTGAAAAAAGAGAGGAAAATCTTTTTGGGAAGAGGATCTATTTGAATGGATCTTTCGATCCGTTTGGGGCTTTTGTCAGGCAAAGATTTTTTCGGCGAAGAATTTCCCCAGAAATGAACTGTGTTTACATGGCGGCCATCCAAGAGATATGTGGCGAAGATTTGCATGAGGTTGTGTTTGGGGCAACAATGGAGAGAGTCTTTCCCCCTTTGAGTGAATAGTTTTGTGATAAACTGTTATTTTGTCTATTCAAATGTTCTATTAAAAGAAACGATACTCAGTTATTCTCTTTAACATTCATTTAGCTCACTTTTCTAACGATAAACTTTAATATTTTTGCCTAACCAGCGATCAAAATCGTCTTTAAAAGGCTGATAGTGAAAATGAATAAAAACACTACTATGTATAGCTTTTTATCAAAGAAAACGCAAAATAAGTAAGCCTTTGCTCCTTTATTTCTATGAAAACTGAAAGATTTCATTATGAAAACCAGAAGGAATGATTCTTCTTTGATAGGTTCTTTGATTGGTCGATCGATGGGATGACAAAAGCCCTATCTAACTTCAAATCATAGCTGTTCTTTGCGTTTTTGGCTTTTTTATAAATAAACTTTTTATAAATAAACTGTTTATTGAAACAATCACAATTTATTATTTTTTGCATGCCGAATACAGAGCGATATCTGATCCGTTAAGAACGATGAGCCAGACTCCTTTCCTACTAGAGTGCGTTCCTCGCGAGTAAGTAATTACTCGAGTAAATTTGCATGAGTAAATTTTTACTCGAGGTATTACTTGAGTAATTATCGAGTAATGCGTTTTTTAAAAAATGCGCCTGTGCGAAAAAAAATATAAAAGCAATTTTTGCAGGTTTTTCAAAAAATCATTTTTTACATTGGAAGGGAGTTTCCCACCAAAACAGTTAAACGGCTGAGTATCTTTAAAAAGTGCCGTATATAAGGAGAGGCTCGTCATTTTTGCGTCATTTTTTTGTAATAATTTTTGCTAAAAGTACGGTAATTTTTTCCCAAGTGTGCGTTTTAAAAAGCGCATTACCCGCGAGGAACACACTCTATTTCCTACTATAAACAATCAAGCTCGCACTCCTTATCGTAATTCATCACCTGAAAAGAAAAAATTATTACACTAAGACGAAAAGATTGGACAAAACTGATTTTTTAGATGGGCTTTATGGAAAAAATCTAACAAACCAACAGCAAGGTACCCGTTGTTGGTCCACAGTTAGCTGTGGCTGGTGACAGATTGAAATCAACGGTCGTCCCATCGGTCCACGAAAGAACACCATTTGTCTGCAAATAGCTGGGGGTCTGTTTTGCTGCAAAAGTTACGCATTTTTCCCACCAGCGAGAAACCTTACAGTAGCCGTAATTCGAGAAAATGTTTCACTAACTTTCACAGCAAAGACCTCAACTTAAAGGTGAACAGAAAAACATTAGCTTAACTTAAGATGTCATTCTTGTATTGAGTGTCCTCTTTTTGTTTTTATTTTCTTTTTTGACTTTTAGATTAATCTTGGGTTTGAGCTCGAAAAATTTATCGTTTTAAAATCGTGAGAGATTCGTTAAACAGTTTTAATAAGTTTTTTTTTAAACTGATCTTCTGGCTTTAGTTACAAATGTTAGACCGTTTTGAGTCAGCTTTTTTAGGAAAAAATGCTTATTTGAGATTGTCTACGATCTCGTCGTTTCCGAGGCCGAAACCTATTGTCAATCTCTCGGCGTCCACCTTGCCTCCATTCACGGTCAATACAAGAATGACATCTTAAGTTAGGCTAGTTTTTTCTGCTCACCTTTAAGTTGAGGTCTTTGCTGTGAAAGTTAGTGCAAATTTTCTCGAATTACGGCTACTGGACTGTTCCTCGCTGGTGGGAAAAATATGTCTAATTTTAAAAAAACATGCCTCCAAGCTATTTGCAGACGAGAGGTGTTCTTTCGTGGATCGATGGGACGACCGTTGATTTCAATCTGTCACCAGCCACAGCAAACTGTGGACCAACAACGGGTACCTTGCTGTTGATTTGTTAGCTTTTTTTTCCATAAGGTCCATCTAAAAAATCAGTTTTGTCCAATCTTTTCGTCTTCGTGTAATAATTTTTTTTCTTTTCAGGTGATGAATTACGATGAATTACGAGTGCGAGCTTGATTGTTCATAGTAGAAAAGGGAGCCTGGCTTATCGTTCTTGACGGATCGGATATCGCTCTGTATTCGGTGTGCAAAAAATAACAAATTGTGATTGTTTCAATAGACAGTTTTCAATTGTTGAAATCAAGATACCGATTGGATAAAAGTTTATTTATAAAAAAGCCAAAAACGCAAAGAACAGCTATGATTTTAAGTTAGATAGGGCTTTTCTCATTCCATTGATCAGCCAATCAAAGAATGTATCAAAGAAGAATCATTTCTTATAGTTTTTATGATGAAATCTTTCAGTTTTTATAGGAATAAACTATCAAAAGCTATGGCTTACTTATTTTGCGTTTTCTTTGGTATAAAGCTATAGTAGTATAGTGTAGTGTTTGGTTCCTTTTGTCGTAGTGTAGTAGTAGTGTAGTGTAGTGTAGGGAACATAGTAGTGTTTTTATTGATTTTCACTATCAGTCTTTTAAAGACGATTTTGATCGCTTGTTAGGCAAAAATATTAAAGTTTATGATTAGAAAAGTGAGCTAAATGAATGTTAAAGAAAATAACTGAGTATCGTTTCTTTTAATAGAACATTTGAATAGACAAAATAACAGTTTATCGCAAAACTATTGTCTCAAAGGGGGAAAGATTCTCTCCATTTTTGCCCCAAACACAACATCATGCAAAACTTCACCAAAATTGTGGTTCTCTTGGATGGCCGCCATGTAAACACAGTTCATTTCTGAAGAAATTCTTCGCCGAAAAAACCTTTGCCTTACAAAAGCTCCAAGTGGAGCTAAAGATCCATTCAAATAGATTCTCTTCCCAAAAAGATTCTCCTCTCTTTTTTCAAAAACATTTAACAGCTCTGTTTCTTCATTTTTGTCTTCAATCAACGTACAGCTGAAGTTCTTGTCTTGCAAAAAAGCCAAAAGTTCATCAAACGTTTGCTGAGCCGGTTCTAGATTTGGATGAAAAATCAAGTGATTGACTGTGAGTATCATTTTCTCGTTTCGACTTGGCAATCCTTTATTCAAAATCAATCTGACAGTTTTCTCCAAATTCTCCCACCGTTTCTCACAAGTTTCGTAGAGTTGCACATTGGTGAGTTTCAAAATCTCGTGCATTTCTTTCAGCGGATACCCTGAATAAAAAGAGATCGTGTTTGGGAATCGGTGTGACATCAGAGATTTTAGGTACTCTCTTTCCTCGTCTTTCAGTGATCCCAAATCCTCTCCAGTGTTTAGTCCTAATTTGCAATCAATCGTGGGCTTTGTGTGCTCAAATACTTGCCGTATCACATCAAATTTCACAGGTACAAGAGTGAACTCAAAGGTGTGCCAGTTTCTTGGCAAAAACTTTAGGAACTCAATTCTCGGTCCGTCCTCATCGAATTCCTCGTCGTCCTCGTGAAATCCGCTATTCATTCGAATGAACACTGTTTTGCTGGCTTTGATCTGTTGAAAGAGTTTCTGATTCTGGTTTCTGATCACCGCTCTCACAGTGTCCCCCCAAACTTGGCCGTTTTCATTGTGGAACTGCAATCGATTTCTCTTGTCTTCCTTATCTTTGTAAATCTCGATGCTTAATGTGTTGCACAGTATTTCTTCGTTTACCGATTTCCAGCAAAACACCATCATAGAAATGTTGTCGATTTTTTGAAGAAAAGGGATAAGTTCGAGACATCGATTTCTGGTATCTCGATTCACTTTCAAAAGCTTCTCACAACTCCAATTCTCCACTTGATTGACAACCAAATTTTTTAGTTCATTGGGAAGAGATTTGAATTCGAGTTTTGCCTTCATAATTTAGAGAAGTTTAGTAATAAATTTAATAGAGTTGTTAATGATTTGAAGAAGAAAAGATATGTGTATGTGCTTTGGCGCTTAGCCTAGGAAATTCTTTCAAAAAGCGTTTCGGTGACGGCGGTCGCGTCGCGGGCGTTCCCCAAAAATTTGAGGCAACCAAAAAAATTTGCTCTGAAATTATCGGCTTCAGTTCCGGCTTTGAGAAATTTTCGTAGATCTTGTCGCAATGAGGTCATGCAAAAGAGGAGGTCATCTTGCCCTATGCAAACGACAAAATCAAAGCCAAGGAGTCATCGCACAACAGCAATCACAGCAACAGCAATCACATCAACAGCAATCACATCAACAGCAACGAGCACCATTCCCTGCTCAGTCACATGATTCTCAACCGAACCCGAGGGCAAACCGCCAACCGACACACGTGTCCACAAATCCAACCGTTGCTCGGGAGAGAGTCAAAGATTGGAACAAAAGAAGCTTCTTTTTTTCGAATCGGCATTGTTGAGTGCGAGTTCGATTGTTCGAGTTCGACATTGTTGATGGGATGCATGAATTTGTTCGACATTCGAGGACAACGCAATGCAACGACCCTAAGCTTCTTCGATTGTGAATCAACTCGGACATATGCTTCGACGGAATGTTTTTGAGTTGAGAGTGTTTTTTATTGAGAACTTTTTTCGCAGTGATCTGTCTAATCAATCAATTATAGGCATCAAACTTTTAAAATCTCGGCTTTTTGAAGTTTCACAAAGCAGTCCAATTAACCCTCATGTAACATGTAAATTTCGAGTCGATTCCAGGTTTTCATCGTCAATCAGGTTGACGACAAGGTTTTTGGCGTTGTTTATAAGGTTGAAAAAGTTTTTTTCTTTTTAATTCTCACACAAAACACACAAGCTTTCTTTTTATTCATTTGAAAGCCAAGAATAGATAATTTTACGTTTCTAGAAATGCACGTTGTTTTGTTCGGCTGTTACTATGAACTCAAAAAGCTTCAAACAATCGTCTAGTTCAGTCAAAACAAAAATTTTTGTTTTTCAAAGTTTCTTCTATTGCCCTAAAAATTATCAAAATCGATTCATTGAATATTCAAGAGAAACTGAAACTCATCAAAACCAAAAAGATGTTCGAATATGGTTATATATCGGTTCATTTCGTCTTTTCTAGTCATGGTTCATTGTTGCATTAGATTTTGTTTGTGAACAAGCTATCGTTCAATCTGAACCCTTCCACATTTCGCTCTCGTTATTTGAAATCGTGCAAGTAGTCCATTTTGTCAAAATCAAATACAGAAAACAGATAAAAGTGATTGGTTATTTTGAAATTTTCTATTCAAAGTATAGGTAAAGAATTTATGAAAAATAACAGTTTTAATAAGTTTTTTTTAAACTGATCTTCTGGCTTTAGTTACAAATGTTAGACCGTTTTGAGTCAGCTTTTTTAGGGAAAAATTACTTATTTGAGATTGTCTACGATCTCGTCGTTTCCGAGGCCGAAACCTATTGTCAATCTCTCGGCGTCCACCTTGCCTCCATTCACGGTCAATACAAGAATGACATCTTAAGTTAGGCTAGTTTTTTCTGCTCACCTTTAAGTTGAGGTCTTTGCTGTGAAAGTTAGTGCAAATTTTCTCGAATTACGGCTACTGGACTGTTCCTCGCTGGTGGGAAAAATATGTCTTCTGGCTTTAGTTACAAATGTTAGACCGTTTTGAGTCAACTTTTTTAGGGCCGGGCCGACCGAAAAATTGCTTGCTTGAGGTTGTCTACGATCTCATCGTTTCCGAAGCCGAAACCTATTGTCAATCTCTCGGCGCCCACCTTGCCTCCATTCAAAATCAATACAAGAATGACATCTTAAGTTAGGCTAGTGTTTTTCTGTTCACCTTTAAGTTGAAAGTTAGTGCAAAATTTTCTCGAATTACGGCTACTGGACTGTTTCTCATCTCAATTTTTAAAAGTTAAGCTGCTTAAGGTTTTTGAAAGAATGAAACGCCAATTTTAAAATTATCATTATCTATTATTGAGCCGTTGACCATTGCCAAATAAACATTAAAAATGCCTTTTTTGTGGTTCTTTTTAATTTCTAAATTTGAGCAAGCAAAACTTCAAAAAAAGCAACTCCGAAAAGGAAAAAAGGTTTTTGCTCCTAATGATTTCTCTCAAAAAGAGATTGATAAGAAGGCTGATTCACACATCAAATTTTTGCTTTTTAAAAAAGATTTGCTTTTAATTATTAACTTTCTTTAAAAGTTATTTAATTTAATACTAAATGACAACTTTTCCATCGAATCTGCAATTGAGGGACAGCGAACGAGAAGCGGAAGAGGTAAAGGCATACTTCTAATTCGGAAGAGGTAAAGGCATACTTCTAATTCAAAACACATATATTTTTAGTTCGCTTAAGCATTTCAAGTGACTTATACAACTCTTCAACAACTCCGTGATGCAACTTTTTACAGGGTTGCTCGGTCCAATCTCAATCCACACAAATCTCTTCACAAAGTGCAGAAGAAATCACTGAAACCACCGCTGGACCGTCCGTAGCTGGGAATCAATCCGTTCAGCCTTCTCTATCTCATCAAAGAATTACTACAGTAAGCTTTAAAGAACAAAAAACTAAGAATATTTACTTTTTTACGTCATACAAGGATTTTCCTGATCTTGGCCATAATTTTGATGACCTTTAGCTGATCGGGGTTTGGTTAAAAAGTTGAACTAAGCTCACTTAGTTGAAAAATCTCTAATGATATTGTACTTTTTTTTGCTGACAACTGACTATAAGACGTATTTTTAGACGTTAGTTGTGCTGTAGAACCACAGCCAAAAAATTTACCATTAATTTTCAGCCAACTCCTCCCGAAGCTTCCATAAACTCACCGCAGTCTCCTCAAGCTCTTTATCAAAGTAAAAAAAAACAGAAAAAATGAATTTCTTAACAATTTTTTAGCCAAAAAGGATCTTGAGTTCTTTCAAAGCTACACGCCGACGAAACTTCTTTTGTGTGGAGGCTGCTTTGCGGTTTCTTGTATTTGTTTGTTTGTTGCTATTATTTTAGTTAAAAGGCTTCAAAAGTAATAAACTTATAAAAATAAAAGAAACATTGAATTCTTGCTTAACATCATAAAAAAGAGATTCCTCATCAAGTTTTTCTTTACAAAAAATCACGCCCCAAACTCCTCACATCATGTTTCGTGAATTGCTGCATAGGCCCCAAATTATTCTCTTGAAAGAGGACAATTAGGGGAAAAGCGTTTTTCAGCGATCTTGCCTAGCATTAAAGACATTGTTTTAGCACTTCAACAGTTCCTCAATTCAAGATCATTTTTTTTGATTGAAGTTCTCGTTTCGTTAACTTTTTACTGTCCATTGACTAGCCAGGAAAATCTTTGACAAGCAAAGTCTCATACAAGGTACCTTGCAACAATCGTCTTCTTGTAATACGCATGTACGACCCCTATTTCTATATTTGGTACGATCGTTTACTCGCTCCAATTCTGTTAAACTTTTTGTTATCTACTGCATATGCACAAAGACGATCCCTAAAATGAGAGAGTACAAAGTGCATTTGCTGGGATGTCAGGTGAATGTGAGGTGAATATGAACAAATGAACTTTACAAAAAAATCATGAACGGATGAAATTATAATATGATTTCTGCGATATTGAGATATTCAATTAATAGGCTCTTTTGATTTACCGAAAACAAAGCTTGAGGAAAAAACAGGGTGAGCTAAAAAGATTTTTTGCGCATAGCTCGCCATAAATTTCTTTTGAGTGGGCCAGTCTTTATGATTTTAGTGTCATTGCTCTCAACAGGAGCAACAAAATCAAAATAATAAAAGCATAAAGATAGGTCGACTCAGAAGAAAGTTATGATTTTAAATCTGATTTTGATCTGATCTATCAAAGCTTCAAGAAGACCTAGATCTGATTTTTTTTTTATTTCATAAATTATTTTTGGGCATTTAATAGATTTCGTGACTCATGGTTCACCTTTTCGGTTCATGTTTTATGGTTTGGAAAGTTCATGCTGTGTGACCATTCACTTTTTATTAAATTTTAATGGTTATAATACGTGGAATTTTTTTTAATAAGTTACCCCAACTTTATAGTTTTACTTTCCACAGCTTATGTGCGCGTGTTAAGTGTATACGTAAGACATTGTTGCATGATTTTAACTAGCAGCAATACCTACTTTGGGGCGCAAATGCAATCCACTTTTAGGCTCTATTCTAAACATTCTTTTGAAATGTACTTCTTTACTCAAGAATTTGATCTACTTAATTATTTTTTATCTTTAGTCGAAGGCTCGTTCCTTGCTGCTCAATGACAAAAGATGGATCAACAAAATGTCAAGGAGCGACCGTTCGAAAGCGTGAGTTTGTTTTTTGTTGCATCTAACGTTTCTACTTGCTAAGTAAGAACAAAAACAAAAAACCAGGCTAGGTTAAATTCACCCAGACTGTTGTGAGTTTAGCCTAGCCTGCTGTGGGTTGGGCAGAGGTTACTGACGTTAAAGACCTCTGCCCAACCCACATCAGGCTAGGCCAACTTCACCTGGACTGTTGTGAATTTAATTACCGATTGTTTTGTCTACCCCCCCCCGGATAATTGACCAAAGGAGGAGAGCCGACAAAATATTGATTGTAGCCTAGGTGTTAAAAGACTTTTGCACCACGATTGTCAGAGGTGTTTTGACAATTTTTTTTCTAGATGAATAAGTATTGTTTAGCGATAACGTTTGTGTAAATAAATTGTACATGTATTTTTGTAACTAAAACTATTAATAGCTTAAAGAGCGCCATGAACTTTATCAAAGAAAATCGATGAAACTTTTTAGAAAATTGAGCCTTAAAAGACTTGCACATGACTGTATTAGGCTGTCCAGAAAGTCTTTTTATTCCTTTTCGGACTTCCGTTCAAAAATAACAGATTCACAGATTCAAACAAACCGTAATTCAATTGGTGCATTTGTTGGTTTTAAACGGCAGTACGAAAAGACTTTTTGAATAGCCTAATATTGGGTTGGGGAGAATGAGTCGGCGCCGAAAATCAAAGAAATTTCTAAAACTTATAGCAGACTTTGTCAAATGATATGCGTTTGATATCAGTAGAATGGTTAACTAATTCTCTACAAAATGACATTTAAAAGAAAATTCAAACAGCGCCTCCGCTCAAGAAAAAGCCATTTTTTCACAGAAACTACAAACTGTGATCTAGAAAAAACCATTGGTGGGATCTTCCTGCAAATTTGGCAACTTAAGTAATTGAATGTGCTCTATCTTTTTTATATAAACACCAAAGAAGGTTTATGTGAAAGAAACTGTTCAAATGATGAGTCGGACTCTTTGCCATTTTAACCAGCTGCGTTTGGAAGTTCATAAACTCCACGAAAGAAAAGCTTTATGGAATCTCTCAAAAGCCATTTTGGAAAGAATTAGTGGACCATTTTGATGAAACAAAACGTGTATTTAAAGAAGGTTTTATGGGTGCAAAAAGTTTCTTTAAATTTCGGCGCTGACTCATTCTCCCCAACCCAATAGTACCAATTTCCTTCAAAATTGCATGGAGGAAGACCAAAGGGCATGAGTAGGTATTGTACGACTATTCGTGGTGCTAATGACGCTAGTTTTTTTCTATATATTCATTTTAGACCAGTCGGCGGTTCGCTCTATTTCTGTCGCCGTGAAAGGAATAGGAGATGGACTACAGGCAAACTATGGAATACGCCCACGTTCAATGGCTGCCAACCCATGCCATTTAAGCGTCAATGAAACACCAAAAAAGATCGAAGATTTCATTGGACGAATTGAAGAGAATCAAGTAAGTACGCTACTACATGATAACTTACACAGTTACTATTTAGCTTGTTCAATTTTCCTCTCGGCCTGGTTTGCCGCTAGAACTTGCAGATCTTGGTGGAAAAGATTACGCGTTCGACATTATCAACTATTTTCTTCACAACCAGGTACTTGCTATATTTTTAAATTATTAGATAAAATAAGATAAGATTTAGAATATACTAGATTTATTTCTAAAATAAAACTACAAATAAATATTTGTTGTTCTCCTTGTGGGATATTTTGTGGATATTTAACATGCTTCTTTTTAAAAAAAGTGAAAACGCAAAGCTACCTTTTTAGATGCCATGCAAAAATGCTGCTTCTCACTTTCCTGAGATTAAACGAGCTCAAATGATGGATTGGATTTTTTGGATCTCTCGCGTGGCCGGGCTACCAGATGAATCACATTTTTTGGCAGTACACCTGCTAGATAAAGCACTAGTGGTTAGTTTATGATATTTTTACCTAATCAAAACTTTAGGTTGACAAAAACATCTCGGAAATGTCAAGTGTGGATGTGGGAGTTGTTATGGTGGAAGTGGTCAAAATTGCTGGAAAATTTGAACTCGGTCCTGAATGTGAAAATGGAATGGTATAACTTATCATATTAATTTTTCAAACAACTTTTTAGTGGGATCGTCTTAAGTCGGTTGTTTGCAATCCTAAACTACAGTGTCAAGAGGACAAAATTAATCAATGGGAATCTCAGGTTGACCTTCCTTTTATCTTTTATGGTGGCTGGAAAAATGTTTTAGCTTCTGAAATTTTTTGACTTTGCCATTTCACGCAAACACTTGTTGCACTTTCTCCATATTTTTTGGGTAAGCTTTTTCGATACTTTTGACACTTTTTCTAAATAATATTTTTAGTTATTGATGGGTGATGTCATGAGTGAAACCGAGAAAGAAAATGGATGGGCGTCAGTGAAGGGATTGTCATATATCGCAATGGCCAAAGCACCTCTGATGAATAACAATCCTTCACTTGTTGCTGCTACCATTATGCGGATAGCTCTTCACCTGTTTCTTAATCGTCATCAACTTCCGGAGGATAAAGTTTGTTTTTCTAGAGAAGTAGTAATATGTGAGTTTACACAGTTTCCCAAGTCATCTTGTGCCTTCTACACGAAGAAAGTCAATACGTGCCGATCGACACAAGTCTTTTAAATTGGGCTTTGTCTTCTCCAACATACGTTCCAACGGTAAGTTTTTTCAATTATCGATTATAGTTAGTTGGAGTTTGTAGATCACTCGTGCGTTTGAAGCCAATCAAGATCATCCCAGTAAACAAGAGCTAGAAACTACTACCTGTGACTTCGACAAGTATTTTCGTAGAGGTTAACACTTTGGTATCTTTTGTAAATTAGTCTAGCATTTGTGAAAGAAAGATTGTATATGTGTTTTATGACATTTTATTTTATACTATCGTAAATGCTTTATCAAAGCGCGCCCCTATAGGAACATTGCGTAGTCTAAACATACACTCAAACAAACGATCATATCTCTATGATCGTTTGTTTGAGTGTACATTTAGCGATGTAGTTAAAGCAGCGCCGAATAGAAAACCTTCAAAACAGCGCCGTCAAATTTCTCACAATCCAAAAAAAATCAAGGCGGTTTTATACCAAAAAATTCCTTGCGTTCTTGGGGGATGGATGAAACAGTTTTTTAAAAAAGTTAATTTTTTATAGATGAAATTATTTTGAACACTAATTTTATCTATGAAATATTAACTAACTTTTAAAAAAAAACTGTTTCACCCATCATGTAGCCAAAAATGTATGGAATTTTTTGGTATAAAACCGCCTTGATTTTTTTGGATTTTGAGAAATTTGACGGCACTGTTTTGAACGTTTTCTATTCGGCGCTGTTTTAACCACATCCCTAAATGTGAACTCAAATAAACGATCATGGATATGATATGATCGTTTTTTTATGTATATTTAGACTTCGCGACGCTCCTATAGGGGGCGTTCTATCAAAGCATTTAGGGTAAATTAGATCCTGTCGGTGCATTTAAGATTTTGTAACATGTTTTATGCCTAAATAAACATAACATAACAAACTTAATTGTATTTGACATTCAAATCCGTTATTGCATTCGCAGAAAAAGAGAAAATTCCATCAAAATTATAGTATTTTTTTTGAGAAAGACCTAAAAACAAAAAATTTAGATGGGGACATTCAAATTGTATAAATGTGGAGTTAATTTCTTTTTTGTTGGCTCTTTTAAATTGAGTTTTGTCTTCTCCAACATACGTTCCAACGGTAAGTTATTTCAATTATTGATTATAGTTGTTTGGAGTTTGTAGATCACTCTTGCGTTTGAAGCCAATCAAGGTCATCCCAGTAAACAAGAGCTAGAAACTATTACCTGTGACTTCGACAATTACTTTTGTAGAGGCCAACACTTCGATATCTTTTGTAAATTAGTCTAGCATTTGTGAAAGAAAGATTGTATATGTGTTTTGACATTTTATTTTATACTATCGTAAATGCTTTAACAAAAGGCGCCCCAATGGGAACGTTGCGAAGTCTAAATTTAGACTCAAACAAACGATCATATCTCTATGATCGTTTGTTTGAGTGTACATTTAGGGATGTAGTTAAAGCAGCGCTGAAGAGAAAGCTCAGCGCCGTCAAATTTCTCGCAATTCAAAAAACCAAGCCGGCTCAAGTTTTATACTAGCAAATCCCTTGCATTCTTGGCTAGATGATGGATGAAACAATTTTTCTAAAAGTTTATAAATAAATTTGGCGTTCAAAATCTGTATCGAATGATATTCAGTTGGTCAACTGAATATCTGAAACTGAATAGCTATTCTAACTAGCTTTAAAAAATAAAAACTAACAAGCTTTTTTTCTAGATCGGATAGATCTTGACAAGCAAAAAGGTTCATCGAATTGTGGAACAATGCTGGAACAAAGGACACGTCTCGTCCAACGTGCAAAAAATGGAATGCATCCAAAAAGACTCCAGACTCGTGAGGTTAATTAGAATCATTAGCAAATAAAGGGTTACAAAATCTTGAAAATTTCTTTATACCAACCAAATCAACTAAAACGCCTTTGAAATACTCAAATGAACATAAATGGAGGCTTTTGTTTATTAATCAAAAAAAGCAAAAAGTTTCCAAGTTAAAAAACTTTTCCATCAAATTATTTACAGAAATTCGTTAATCTGAAAATTTTCTTTCTCAAAGAACAGTCCAATGATTCGAATTTGATTGAGCAAATATCCAATCGTCTTCTGTGATCATCACTTCATAGCAATCCTCGAGCCAGTTTGAGCACTCACTAAATGTTTTTCATTTAACTGGATATTCGATCATTTGAGAATGACAATTCTCAAAAATTTCACTCACCTCTTATAACATTCCCATCTCTTATTGACTTTCATTCTACTTGGTAAGTTTTCAGCAAAAATTATGCTCAAAGTGGACTTTGCATTGCCAAAGATTCGTTTCACAGTGTTGATCTGAAAAAGTAAGTAAAAATTGCACTAAAAATAGGTAAAAATTGCCCACTTCTTCTCCAGAAAGATCCCATTTTTGCCAGAGGTTCTTGTCTGAAAAAGTCTTCTAAAAAGTGGAAGTTTTTTGTTGTTACCGAGTTCTTTGCCTTCGTAAATTGATTTAGCTACATCGTTGAAAACCCAAGTCCGACGTTTGCTGAAATAAATTTTTCAAAATAGAGCTTCAAATAAATGTTTGACAGGTTTGCAAAAGTAAAAATAAAGGTTTACAGAGAAAAAAACCAAAAAATCTTGGCTTGGCTTTTACTTGATCCAAGTTTTTCGGAGACCAGATCAGGTGCTTTGTTTTCATTTCAGAATCAGAATCCTTTTTTGTTTAGCTTCAAAATTCATTCAAACCTAGGAAAACGTTCATTCGTGTCAATCCAGACTTGAGATTGAGCTGATTGAGAGAAATCCCCGTCATCAGCACCGCCAAAAAGCTTAAGAGCTAGACGATAAGTGAATGCATCCCACGAGAAGGCTTTGTTCGGATTCAGCTGTAAAACTATCTAACCGATATAGAATTTCGAAAGGCCGACGAATCCGCGCAGCGTGCCGTGGACGAGTGGTTAGCGCGCTCGTACGGAGTTCAGGCGGTGAAAGGTTCGACTCCACCTCCAGTCAAACATTTTGCTTTTTTACCAAAAGCTCAAATATAGTAGAAATAACCTTTTCAAGTAAAAACGAGCGCCCCCAACTTTGTGCCGAACTCGACTATGCGACAAACCACGAGCCGCGCGTTTGCAACAATTCCAAAAAAACTGTTTACCCACCTTTTCTCCAAATGGAATCATTGGCAGTGGGAAGAGGGTGATTTTCGTCTAAATTTTTGTAGGCTTAGAATTTTATGTAAGTTTTACTTGTTTCTCATAGAATTTCAACACTTTCATCACATTTTCAGTTACAGAAACAACGGGAAGGACGACAGCTGTTTTATCGTGTCGGATCATTAGCTCGATGATCAAGGAAACCATCGCAAAATCGTCAACCCTAAATTTTGGGTTTACTCTAGCTAGTGAGTTGGCTAATTTTAGAAAAATTTGAGTACTTATTTCATTCCCGATCTAATAGAATGTTTTAAAAGAGTAAACGGCAAGCAACCTATCCCTTTCGAGATTTATTCAAAGTTAAGCCCACGGGTAATTCAAGGAGAGAAAGGCAGAAGAATAAAAGCAATTTTAGAAAGTTCCAGTCACCTCTAATCATTTTATGTATAACTCTTTTCCAATAAGAACTGCCAGAATTTGGAATCGACTCCCTAGAGTTTTGAGAGAGTCTAATAGCCTTGAAGCCTTTCATTTATCTGTAGATGATCTTGATCTTGTAGTTCTAAGGGGCTCTTGACTTTATCTGTGCTATTCATATATTACATACATTATATCGTGTTGCTTTTTATCGGTCCTTTTTGTGTTTATGTGAGTTCATGTGTATTATTCTTAAATCTTGGGCACTTTGTTTCATGTCCTGAATAAAGTATCTTATATAAATGTTGCGTCCGATCCAGGATTAATTGCCTTAATCCTAGATCAGACGTCCGATCTAGGATTGATCTTGGATCGGACTTCTAATCCTGGATCGGAATCTTGGATCGGACGCAGCATACATATTTTATCAAAAACCGTTACCACTCCAATGGATGAGTTTGAAAGAATTGATAAATTTCCCCTAAATGAACAGTGTCAAGAGAAATGGGCACTCTTTTTGAGGTTCTTCCATTTCGACGTTCGAGAGAAATCTGAGCTTTCAGTTTTTCAAAGCTTGCATTAAAATTACCTCTGACGAGAGCTCACTGGGTCGAGATTCGATCAGAAACGGTTTGAATTTACATTTCCCAGAAAAAGTTGACACTAAAACACAAAACTTACAACAAAAGATATCAGTGATAACTTGAAAAAGCGACATCTCGATTGTTGTCAATAATTTTGAGATTCGCTGGTTTTTGTTGCAAGTGTCCACTTTTTCTGTTGTTGACTCCAGCGATTCGCAGATCATTTTTTCTTTCATTAGTTCTTAAACATTTTCAGGATTGGAACTTGAAAAAATTGAGAGCTTTACCGATTTAAAGTAACTGCTTTGAAAATGAAAAGAGTTGACTCAGAAACTTCTAAGCTTTTTGCTTGTTGATACATCGGAGAGTTGAAAAATTTTCGATTCCACGAGTCTGCGACCGATTTTTTCTCGATTTTGACAAATCTTTCATCATTGAGTGAGAATTGAAAAGATTGAGTAGAAAAAGATGAAAACGAAAGTAAATAAAGCTGAAAGATGAATTGAACATTAAAAACAAACGATCTTTTACCAAATGCATCTTCTAAAACAGAAAAATAGTAAATGAATCAAATAGAAATTAGAATTGATAGCTTTTCAAATATTTTTGAAAACATGACTATCTATTTCAGGCTTTATTAGACCCTAAACAAAAGAGCTGTTCTTAAATGTTTACTCAGGCTTTTCCGAATTCAGCCGAATAACCCCGGAAGGTCTTTTCAGTTTTTAGCTGGATGAGCCTTCATTCAATGATCCTTTTTGTTTTCATTTGCTAAAACTTTATAGATTTATAAACCTTTATTTGCTGACTATCGTCGGGACATTTGAAACAGAAACAGAGCCCATTTTTCGTACAAATTTCAATGGAACGAGTCACTTTATGAGAAATAATGTTTTCTGGGGATTTCAGTGATAAATTTTTGATACGGTTTTCGTTTTCAGATAGTTTCGACGTTTTCAGACGATCAGACGTTTTCAGATGATTCGATTTCAGATCAGATTCAAGATGACTTTGATAATCTTCGATAGAAAAAGAAGGGAAATCAAGGAGATCGAGGAGAAACAATTGCGAAGAGGAAATTGTTCAGTTCTGAATTTCATAAGAATGTTTTTATCAACGAGTTTTCACAACTCACCTCGTGAACTTCAAATCGACAACCATAAAGTCGGCAAAGAATCTCCATGGAGTGACAATGGCAATCACCAGGATCATCATCTGGGTGCCAATTCCCCTAGCCAGCTCATAAGTTTAAAAGTTTTTAAGTCAAACCAGAATCAAGTTGGGGAAACTAGGCTTTACCGTGTGCACAGTTCCACTGAGCTGTGAGGTTGAGGATTTGAGGATTTGAGTTCAGTTGTTTTTAGAGTTTAGATAAACATGTTTTGTTGTTTATTCACTTGTCGTATTCAAAAAAAACAAATTTGAAAAAGCTATCTGACCCCACATTTTACGACAGCAATTTTATCAGCAAATGAGGAAAGGAAGTGCTTGTTTTAAGTTGTTTTTCCCGATAACCATTGACTAAAAGTTCTCATTTTTGGAAACAAAACTTTTGCTGTACGATATCTGAAATGTGCTTTTGGATATTTTCTTTAATATCTCTGCTAAGCTTTTCTCAAATCGAGGCTCTTTATTGTCCTTTTGGATCTTTTCAAGTGCCGAATGAAAACGTCTGCGCCTTTGCTATCCCGAAAAGTAAATTGCAGTTTTTTTCATGAAAAAAAATCAAAGATACGAAGGTTTTATTGCTTAAAATACGATGGTTTTATTGCTTAAAATCCGAAGGTTTTATTGCTTAAACTGTATTGTACTTTTTAAAGCAAATATGAATTGCGAAAATTCCCAATTTTTAGGTGAATACTACCACGGTGCTGTCCGAGGCTGTGCGAGTCGAGGAGCGGTGGTGGCAAGAGTGCAAAATGCCTTCGAGAATGCTTATTTCTACGCTTTAATCAACTCAAGTGAGTGGTTTTATCTTATAGAAACTTCTAGTGCTTTAGTTATTAAAGAAATTTGCGTTAAATTTTTTTCGAATCCATTAATTACAGACTTCAACAACGAGGCTCCATACATTGGAGTCGAAATGCAGCCGAATGGCAACTTTTGGACGTACTCGGACGGATCACAGCTCACCTATCAATATTGGGCGCCTGGTACTGGGAAATTTAAAAAAAACATAGCAATTTGCCTACAGGTGAACCCAGAAATCGAAGTGAGACGAACATTTGTGTGGTGGTCGACCCGGCGACGGCTCTCTGGAAAACAGCTGACTGCACCGTACCGCGTCCCTACTTTTGCACGTTGCTCGGAAATGGTGACCCTAAAATTTTAACAGTTTTGTACAAGGGGTTTAGATGGCCCTTGTCCAAAAAATTGGGTCTACTTTGCTACCACAAAGTCCTGCTATTATCTTCAGGTAGGTTATCGAATCTTTTGTGGACTTTTTTTTTTCCTCAAACACTTTCAGAATACCGTTTACAACGCTCAAACCCAGCACTGGTTCACGTACGACTTTAGCCAAGCTGAAAGCGAATGTCAAAAGTCTGGCGCTCATTTGGTGTCAATTCACTCGACCGTGGAAAACAATTTCGTTTACGGTATTCGAAAACTCGAAAACTAGGGACCATAAAGATTGCGCCGAATGGAATTGCCGTCTTTTGTATGGGTGTGTAGTGTTACCCGGGCCTTCACTTTGTGCGAGTCTGGTATCAAAATGTAGCCCTTTAATTTTAAAAAAAGTCCAAAAAGCCGACTGTACATTACTAACAACCACGTACCGTCTTTTGTATGAGTGTGTAGTGTTGATGCTCTCACTTTGCGGCCATTTTTCTTGTACTAAATAGCAGTTTTTCCGTTTTTTATACTATCGTATAGCGCAATTGAAGGGCTACATTTTGATATCAGACTCGCACAAAGTGACGGGCCTGGCAATTCCATTCGGCGCAATCTTCATGTTCTCAAAAACTATCTGAGCTAAGGTGTTTTCAGACTTGATTGGCACAAACTTCGATGGTTCCGGCTCAGCGGTTTTGGCGTTTACCGGATGGAACGGGGCCGATGCATGTTGGGCGAACTTCGCGTGGATCGGGCTGCGGGGGACCGGAGCCAAAAGCAACGGGATTTGGTCGGATGGGACTCCGGTCGATTTCACGACAGTCGGCACACCAATTGTCGAAGACTACAACTGGAGGGTAAGCTATTTTTGACTCAAATGTTAGCTGCTTTTTTAGTCAAGTAAATTTCAAAGAGATTCCCTTAATCAATTTTGATTAATTCTTAACTTTTTGCCATCAATAGTCTCTATCTTCTCCTCTCTGTAGGCACATTTTTTGTGAACTCCTCATTGTTATGTTTTTCCTAGATTCAACAACGTCTAAACCCATCAAAACAAATTGGGACTAAAAGCAAAAGGGGGGGATTTTATAGATAATTTTTAAAGGGGACTCAAAAGACTCAATTAGACGCGAAAGAATCTCCAAGCCTGATTTAGTGCAAAAATTTGAGCATAGTGAGGCCCAAAGATGGGAAAACGTTCAATATGCTCCTAGATTTTCAGCACGATCTATCCGGGGGAGAAGTACTTAAGGGAAAACCGTGTGTCAGAATGCAATTGTGCGCTCACACAGAGAACGCACATATGTTCAGAGGAACAAGAATCAGAAAATAGAATGAATTGGGAAGGTTTCTGGGCGAATCGGGCTGAATATATAAATTATAAAGATATTCAAGAAATATTGTATTTCAGATTAGCAACGATCCTTCATGCCATTTGGGGGGTTGGAATGGAGTTCCCGGCGAATGGAGCTATGCTCGCTTTGTGTGCAAAATGCCAGCTAAAAGCCTTCTCTCCGAAATGAAAAACGAAAAACTCGAAAAGCTTTGAAAACAATATGGAGTAACATTTACTCAAAATAAAGATTCATCTTTTTATAATTTCTCTCAGCTATTACTCTCAATCAAGTGTTTGCTTTTTATTACAATAATAAGCTCTTTCTAATTGCTCAGCTTTAGGATTTAGGTATTACCTATACATGCAAAAATATTTTGAAACAGAAGACATGCATTTATTCAATTGGGAATCGGTTGTTGTTGCGATTCGATAATCATCATTCATCATCTTTTCCTCGTCGTGATCCGTTTTGAACTCTTCTCATCAATCACCTTTTTAACATTTGTCTCAGCTTGCCCAAACCATTTCTCAAATTGGGTTTGTGCAATCTGAAAACGATTTCCATTTGAAGTCACTGCGACTTCTATCTATTGGATTGGTGAATTGAAAACTGCGGGCTATTTCGCGAGACTCGCAGACAAAGAAAACAACAGCCTAGAACCAGCTGAAACGGGGGTTTGTTTACTTCAACATTTCCTCTAATTTTTGCGAAAAAATTATGCTTCCAGCTTTTTATTTTTTGGTATTTTTCTTCACTTCTTCTATTGCACTCGACAATCTGCCACCGGGACATATTCATCATGTCATGCTTCATGAGTTCCTACAAAAGCACAGTGCAGGCTTGGCAGCTGCTAATATTAAAAAAGATATATGGGGAGGACTCGCCTTCCGAAAGAACGTGTCGAGTATGGTTTGCCAGTTTATTGCGATTCGATAAAAATTTTCATCATCTTTTCCTCGTCGTGACCCGTTTTGAAATCTTCTCATCAATCACCTTTTTGACATTTGTTTCAGCTTGCCCAAACAATTTCTCAAATTGCGTTTGTGCAATCTGAAAACGATTTCTATTTGAAATCACTGCGACTTCTATCTAGTTCCAGTCGAGTTGTCTTGTTACCGGACCTTGGCCGCCAACCGACACACGCGTCTACAAATCCAACCGTTGCTCAGGTGAGTGTCGAGTGCTCAGGCGAGGTAGTTCAAAGTAAGGTGAAAAGTAGGAAAAAGTAAAAATTCTTAATTCTTGTGTTGCCTGGATATCTTTTCTTTCCGAATATGGTTATTTATTGGTTCATTTGGTCTTTTCTAGTCATTGTTCCGTGCTCATCTTCTGGATCGAACGAGAAAAAGACATCCGATCTGGCGATTCAAAAAGACAGTGTCGTTGATTTAAATCAGATAAATCAAAAGATAGAGTAACGTTCCGGTTTAGGTTACAAATTTTTTGTGATTTCATGTTATTAGGTGTGTCAAACTCTGTTATTTGTTGCTTACTCACTTTTCTTTTCGTCTTTTTTGTTTTGCTCGAAAAAAGTCAACAAAAACCATGTTTAGTCAAGCTTTATAGCCATCAAATTTTTCAATATCTAGCCTTTTTCTTGCAAAGGGTCGTCCGGAAGGTGGCCTCACAGACATAATCTGTCCATCGGTGTAAGTACGTTGAGGGATCCGCTTCGGAATTGCTATACGCGTCTGGGTAAATCTGAAAATATCCCTTGCTTTGACAATTGATTCACAAGGCCACATTTCAACTTCAAAAATCACCATAGAGCATGGACGGCCAAGCGGCTGTCCATTCAGCTCCCATTTCGAGTAGTTCCACGGCGATCCATCCGACCAGCCATACTCAGACTTGCTAGGGCCCAACCAAACTCCGCCAATCAGCACCAAATCCGTCTCAAAACTGTCCATCGGTCGGCCGCACTTTGTGAGATCTGAAAAAAGAAAAGCATCACTTAGGGATTTGTCTGCACACAGTTAGCTTTCTAATGAAAATATTTTTGTTTTGTTTAATTGAAAGCAGCTACGAAGAACGTTTCTAACCGATCCTCAAAGGCTAAAGCTAGTAGAAGATAGGTCGTGACTTGGCTTTTGGCTGACTCCGACTAAAGTTTTGTAAGTTGTTTGCAAATCATGAACGATGCTAGTCTTGGCCCTGACATTGTAAGACACTTTTTGCAAAATTTAGCAAATGTTCCAAAACCCACCATCTACAATTCGATTCTCCTCCTCTGAATGAATCGACACCAGAGCCGCGTCCATCGATCGACAAGTCGCAATTGCGTTTGTGAAATCGACATTGTAGATTGGCTATGAGATTCTGATTAAAGAACAAGTCTTTTTTTCTACTTTATAACAATTTTGCAATTGTGCTACGTAGAACCACTCGGTGGGACATGGAGATTCGAGGACTGGCGGTTCGGTTACAGTCTAAATTTAACAAGAAACTTCAAATCAACTTCAAGTCAAGAAACTTTAGTCAAGAAAGTTCAAGAAATCAAGCAAAGTTCAAAATCGAAAAGTACCTGATCCCTGCTAACACAAACTATCGGCAACTTCTCGTTCCAGCTAGCCGTCGTCCACTTGCCGTTTGTCAAATTCATTATCATGTTGCCGGGGAGTGTTCCTGAAGGCTTTTCGAGTGATGAGGCTAAAACTAAACTAACCTGCATCGAAATTTTGATACACATCTGAAGACCCATCAAGCCAGCTGACATTCTTCCCATCGTAGACCCCGCCCAGCCAGACAGCGGTCTCTTGCTAGAAATGAATCTCAAAAAGTTAGACTACTTTCAAGGGAAAGTCAAGTGAGCAAGATGTTCAAATGACATATGCTAGATACCATTCGACGCAGAATTTTACGCTGATTCTGAAGCTGCTTCCCGTTTTTGCTATCCGATACCCTATCGAAAATTATACGAGTTTTAAGTTTTACAAGGCATTTTCGAACTCAAGATTAAATCATGATAAATTAGTTTCCCAAAGGCTTTTCAAAAGTGTCAGAAAAAACATAATTTTATATTACAGCGAGCACATAACATGAAAGCCAGAAACGCACAATTTCTATCTTCACAAAGCAAATTATCAAGTTTAAAGCAAACAGTAATTGGAGTCTCAAATGGAAGTAAAGGGGCATCAAGATAGCCACATTCTATCCATGAATATTGGCGCAGAAATTGAAAACAACCGCCCATTTGTGGATGAACAACGGAAATTATTTTGATCAAAGAATCTCGTGAATATAGGATTTTTTTCGATTACTCTCGGATCAACACTCATCTAAAATTGTTTTTTCGACCCGCTACGAATTTTGAAAGTCCTATACGTTCCTAGGTGTAAACGGATGTGGACTAGAATTTGGGTTATGTTAAAGAGAGTGGATCCCTTTTGATATCCCGCCTTCTCTAACACCCCGACAACCCAACTCAACTCCTCCAACGTATTAGAGGGGAGTCCCTGTGAAATGACCGACCTGTAGTTGCACTGCAGTTGCATAGACCCGGAAGATACGTATCTTTATTTACAGTAATACAATAAGATGAATAGATTAGAAATGAGTGTAAGGGGAAGGGGGGACTCCAAATGAGAGTCTCACTTGTCCTCCTAGGCAATCCTAAGGACCGCCCCTTCTCGGCAATAAAGGGATAAGCACAGAGGAGAACACATTTGCATACGATTAGACAAAGCATTCAATAATAACAATAGTAACTAAAATATCAGTTTGGCGCGGAGCTGACAGTCCCAAAAAAAGTGCTTAACAACAGTAATAGAAAAAGTGCTTAAACTTCTCAAACCTTCAAAGTCGAGAATTACACCAGCGGAAGGGTATGACCGGCCCATATCCCAAAAAAATGTACAATGATTCACAGGTTTTTGGCTCTATAACTGTTGGAGGAGTCACTTACTTTTCACTCAACAAAAGCTTACATTTATAAAGTGTAAATTTAAGCACAAGAAATGCCATTTTCGTTGAGTGTAAATTGAATGACTGTAGCTTCTAAAAAGCTTACACTCACCTCAACAATTTCTTTTCCAATTTGCAGCACTTTTTCATTGTCATCCGAATTCGTTACTGAGGCCAAGTGTCCATCAAAGCTATAAATCGTAAAAAAAAGTCATCATTTTTGGCTTCTCACTCTTCACAAAATGCATCTCCTTTCGAGAAACTGAACCCGGAAGCTACTCCGAAAAAACAGGTTTTCTCAATCGACCCAGGAACACTCGATTTTGGACATAAAGCTAGCAAGTTTTCTAAAATTCGACATGTAAAAACGATTTAATTTAAAGAATTCTAGTCGTTTTCTCAAAAGACTCACCTAAACACAAAAGAATTGAAATTAAACGAAAATTCATTTTAGCAAAAAAGAAATGATACACTTCGTTTCGATTTCACAAAATTGACCCACTGATAAGACTTAAATCTGAAAAATGGCGACCTATTTTACGAAAAACAAACAATTTTGCGAGTTGTTTTGAGTTGCTTATCTTTTAGGCCTTCTTTTAACGAAAGTGATTCGGTAATTGTAGACTTTTCTTTTTCAAGAGAATCAAATTCAAATTCAAATTAAGAAAATGAAGATAGATCTTCAGAGCCGTTTTGAATGTGGAAACGAAAAGAAATTCTTAAAATTAATGTTTACTAGTTGATGGGTGCTAAAATGAACTAAAACTTCAAACTGTTTGCTTGTTGTTTGAAAGTATTATTTTGATATTCTTGATAAATCACGAAATAAGCCTTGATTTGTTCAGAAATCCCATTAATTTCTCCTGGATCGGACAGAATCCTGGATCGGACGAAATCCTGGGTTGGACGGAATCCTGGATCGGACGCAGCATACATATTCCATCAAAAACCGTTACCACTCCAATGGATGAGTTTGAAGGAATTGATAAATTTCCCCTAAATGAACAGTGTCAAGAGAAATGCGCACTCTTTTTGAAGCTCTTCCATTTCAACGTTCGAGAGAAATCTGAGCTTTCATTAAAATTACCTCTGACGAGAGCTCACTGGGTCGAGATTCGATCAGAAACGGTTTGAATTTAGAATTTGGAATCTACTCCCTAGAGTTTTGAGAGAGTCTAATGGCCTTGAAACCTTTAATTTATCTGTAGATGATCTTGACCTTGAAGCTCTAGTGAATTCTTGACGCTATCTGTGCTACCCATATATTACATCTATTATGTTGTGTTTCTTTTTATCGGCCCTTTTCGTGTTATGAATTCATGTGTATTAATCTTAAATCTAGCGCACTTTATTTCAGGTTCTGGATAAAGTATCTATATATATAACTTATTCATTTGATTTCAAATTAACAAATTCACGGTAATACCCACCGTTAGGCCATACTAATCATGATTATTTTTGGTGTCATGTTTTTAAAGATTATTTGATTTATTTTGTGAAAAACTCTCGGTAACTTTGCACTAGTTTTTAAGAGGAGATTTAGAGCTATCGAATGACTATAAAAATTTAGTTTTTCTTTGAATTTTTCATCAAATTATTAGTGAAACAATTAACAACTACGCGACTGTACAGCCTAAAATGCTATCGTGTTAATTTGATTGAAACTAAATTGTTCCAGAAATCAATAACTTGAATAAATACATGAGTTTACTGTATGAAAACAGAAATCAAAGCATGACAATTAGAGTTATTTAATTATTCATATTTTAACAAGAACTGAAAGCCCATTGAAAACAGCTTTTGTAGTGGATGAAGGCTATTTGTGTTTTTAGCTTTTTCAGCTATTTTCAGATGAATGCTATTTTTGTTTTCTGCCAATAGCCTTTCACTATTATTTACCGTACGCATGCCCCTTCTGCGAGACTCACACAAAGAAAGTCGAAAACGAATGAATCATAGAAAAAAGGGTTTGCAAAATCCAAAAGCTTAATCAGTTTCATTTCACCTAATCCTTTTTGCTATTTTATTTATTTCTAATCGTTCACGATCTGGCAAACACATTTGATATAAAGTGCAAACCTTTTCGGATCCATAAAGGAGAAGCAGCCTCACTCTTTTGGGCTTTACTATTTCTCTAGGAATTCTTTTAAGCTATGCAAAATTTCCCGCTAAATCGTTTACCAAAAGAGATTCGGGACTCAATTCTCGATCATTTACTCATTGAAGAAAGCTTAAAATTATTGAAAATCACTAAAGAACTTCGAAATTTCATTCTCAACAATGGATGTTTTGGGAAATTTTTATTTGAAATCAATATCTTTGTCAATAAAGATTTCGATAAGAAATTTTGATGATTCGAATCGGCTCTGAATCTTATGGATTTGATGATTTTCAAATTGAAAAATTATATCTATTTTTGAACAAAATTCAATCAACAAAACATTTCATTATTCAAATAAACCCATATGAATTAATGCCATTACCTATAAATTACAGAAAATTTATGGAGAAAACATTTCCCGCGATGAAATTTGTTTCAAATCTAGCGATTTTCAATAGAAATATGACACTCGATGATTTTGAGAGTTTTCTTGGAAAATTTCGCATAAAAGTCTACGATAAATTAGACTTTCAAACAACTTATTACAATAATTTCCAAGAGAAAAGTGATCTCTATGAATCGATTGTTGATCAAGCTATTCATTGTGAATTTGTGCATATTGATCTCGAAGCTGGAATGTATCCATTGTTGAAGAGGACGAATGTTGAAGTGATTGACTTGGATAATACTGGGTGAGTAGAAGATTCACTTATAATGGCTAACTGCCTAACTTGGTTCGATTTTATCGAGGTTTCTAAGCTCTTTTCCTTCTCTTTCCCCTTGTATTTCCTCTTTCTTCTTTGGCAAGAATATACCGGATAGCTCAGTAGAGTAAGTACCGTACCGTACCAGTACGTCAGTACCGGATAGTAGAGTGTATTCCTCGCGAGTAAGTAACTCGTAACTCGAGTAAATTTGCATGAGTAATTTTTTACTCGAGTAATAGCTCGAGTAATTGTCGAGTAATGCGTTTTCTAAAGAGTGCGCTTGTGCGAAAAAAAATATAAAAGCCATTTTTTGCGCAGGTTTTGGGGTAAGCTAATTTCCGCAACTTGGTCATTTGCACAACTCATCATAACTTTCTTCTAAGTTGGCCAATCTTTATGATTTTGGTTTCATTTTGTAGAACTCAATAAGTGCAACAAAATGACACCAAAATCATAAAGATTGGCCAACTTAGAAGAAAGTTATGGTGAGTTGCGCAAACGGCCCAGTTGCGCAAATAAAATTGGCCCAAAGTAGCCTACCCCAAAAAAAAGCATTTTTTACATTGAAAGGGAATTTCCCACCAAATCAGTTAAACGGCTGAGTATCTTTACTGGATAGCTCTGAAAATGACGAGCCCCGTATTATATACGATACCTTAAAAAGTGTCGTATACAATGCGGGGCTCGTGATTTTTGCGCCATTTTTTTGCAATAATTTTTGCTAAAAGCACGGTAATTTCTTCCCAAGTGTGCGTTTTAAAAAACGCATTACTCGTGTGGAACACACTCTAGTGGTTAGAGCATCTGCTCAGAAAGCAAATGGAAAGTAAAAAGATCAAGGGTTCAATCCCATCCTCTTTTTTTCATTCCTTACTTTACTGTGTTTATAAATCAGTTTTGCCATGCCTCTGAGCTACTGTCTGAGTTCCGATTACAGTAATCAAATCCATATTTCAGTGACAAGGATTTCCTTGAAGGACTAAAAGACTTGATGCCTTCAATGATCAAAAATGGCTTGCCAACCCAAAA